CTTCTTTCTTTTACCAGTTCCATCTATGTGAAGATAAGCCAAAGGTCCTACTCAACTATGTCTGGCTTCACTTGGAAGTATGAATGAGATGTTTCCTCTGAGTTGACCCTCCTCTTTGTAGACTGGACACTGGTTCATGTCCATCTCATGGGGTTTCCATGTCCTCTGTGAACAAGAGGACAGGAGACTCACTACAGTTACAGGACATTTTGAGAGATATTCCATAGTCCCTGGAACTTAGTCAAACTTGGAGGGCAAGGGGCTGAGTAGAAAGTGTATTCTTTGGTTCTTGGTTGAATATTTTAAAGATGTCTGTTAGGTCCATTCAATGTATGGTATCATTTAATTCAGACATCTCTCTATTTATTCTTTGTCCAGTTGGCCTAATGGAGACAGTGGGGTATTGAAGTCCCCTACTATTACTGAGTTGGGGTTAATCTGTGTCTTAAAGTCCTGTAGAATTGTTTTTATGAATTTGAGTGCACCAGAGTTTGGTGCATATATGTAAAGGGTTGTAATATCTTCGTGGTTAACTGTTCCTTTGATCAGAATGAAGTGACCTTCCTTATCTCTTCTGATTAGTTTTACCTTGAAGTCTATTTTGTCAGAATTAGAATTGCAACCCCTGCTTGTTTCTTAGTGCCATTTACTTGGAATATTCTTTTCCATCTCTTCACCTTAAGGTAGTGCCTGTCCTTGAAGGTGAGATGGGTTTCTTGCAGAGAGCAAAAAGATGGATTTTGTTTCTTATTCCATTCACTTAGCCTGTGTCTTTTGACTGGGGAGTTCAGTCCATTTTTAAAGTTAGTATTGAAAGATGTGTATTGGTTTCCATCATTTTGATTGCTGTTTGCATTGTCTAATTTTGTGTTTCTGCAATAATACCTTTATTTATTTTCTTCTGTTGCCCCTGGGGTATAGTTGTTTCTCTGTTCTTTGTATTGCTTCAAGTATTCTTTGAAGGGCTGGTTTTGTGGACGTGTATTCTTTCAGGCTATTCGTGTCATGGAAGATTTTCTTTTCCTCCCTCAATTTTAATAGACAATTTTGCTGGGTAGAGTATTCTGGGCTGGCATCTATTGTCATTTAGAACTGGAAATACCTTGGTCTAGGTTCTTCTGGCTTTCATAGTTTGCATTGATGTCTAGTTTGCATTGTAATTCTGATGGGCTTTCCTTTATATGTGACTTTTGCAGCTTTCAGTGTTCTCTCTTTGTTCTGTACATTTAGTGTTTTTACTATGATATGCCGTGGGGAATTTTTCTGGTCCTGTCCATTTGGTGTTCTATATGCTTCTTTTATTTGTATGGGGATGTATGTCCTTAATTTTGGGAAATTCTCTTCTACAATCCTGTTTAAGATCTGGTCAATACCATTAACCTGAAATTATTCTTCTTCCTTTATGCCTATGATACATGTATTTGGCCTTTTCATGGTATCCCACATCTCTTGCATTCCTGGTTTTTGGGGGTTTTTTTTCATAATCTTTGCTTGAGTGGTCCAGTTCTTCAATTTTATCCTCCAGTGTTAATATTGTTCCCCATTTCATTCATTCTAGTGGTGAGGCTTCCCTGTTGTTTCAAGTAGACTAATTGAAATTTTCATTTCCTTCTTCATTTTAGTTATTTGATTTGTTCGTGTGTTCTTTAAATTTATTGAGTTCCTTGATCATGTTTATGATTGTTCTTTTAAATTCTGTATCCTGGGTTATCTCTAGGGGGTTCTTGTAGAACTCTTCTGCAGGAGTGGTGTTTAGTGTGGATGTAGTGTTTTGGCTTTCCATTTTATTATTCTTTCGTTGTGATTTTGGATGTGAGTTTCTTTTGTTGTTTTTGTGCTGACGTCTGGTCATATGGATGTTTTTTGTCAGTTATGTGTTCAACAGGAATTTCTACTCTTCTTTTGTTTAATTTAGTTTTGGTTCAGAGTCCTGACTGATGAAAATTAAGTTGAAGTTTGCTTCTGTTTGTATTATTGGTGTGCCTTGGTCCTTTTCTTATTGGTTATGTGAAGCTGGTTGGTCCAGGTTTCAGGTTTCTCTCAGGTTTTATTTTTGAGGGAACTGATTGCTTCAGATCAGCTACTCAGGAACGCCCACAGAAGCCCGTCAGGTTCCAGTCAGGCACACTCAGGCTTCCGTCTAAGGAAGGACCCCTACTAGCGGGAACTCAGGACAAAATTTGGGCAGTTCCCTAAGGGGGCCCGATTTTAGGACTGTCAGGCAGTTGGCTGAGTTCTCAGCCCCTATGCCAGAGGGAGGCTGGGACAGGCACTCTGGCAGTCTGCTGAGATCTCAGCTTTATCCCCGCTTAGGGGCTTTTTAATCCCGCAAAGCCTTCCCACCATCCTTTTTTTGTGACAATTAGAAATATATAGTATGGGGCTGACGAGATAGCTCAGCGGTTAAGAGCACTGGCTTCTCTTGAAGAGGCCCTGGGTTGGATTCCCAACATCCACGTTGTGGCTAACAACCATCTGTACTCCAATTCCAGCAATCCAACACCCTCTTCTGACCTCCATGGGCACTGCACAACACAGGGTGCACCTACCTATATGCAGGCAATACACTCATACACATAAAATATTAAAAAAAGAAATATATGGTAGCTAATATTTGTTAGCTTGTGATGTGCTAAACACTGTTCTAAATATTTCACATTTAATCCTCAGTGCCCTTTGAGATGAGTACCATCCTTAGCTCCTTCACACATTTAGAAATGGAGGGACATATGATGTACAACTGTCCATAGTTAATAAGTATACAATGTGCTTGGCACTTAGTGGGTATCTTTTTAAAATTGCTGCTCAGATGTCATATAATCCTCCCAATCAGTCTCAACAGATAAAATAAGGCTTGGGTGAGGTTAAGCAGCTTTCCTGAGATCGCCTCATTTCTGCTCTGTCCATCAGTAATGACAGTGAGTCAGCCTATGAGCTCCTGGCCTCACCCCAGCTGGGATGCACTGTTCTGATGTACCTGTTAGTACCCAGCTGGAGCTCCTGGCTCATCACTGCTGTGGGTACGTATGGATCTAGACTGGAAACCCAAATGTGCATCTGCCCACAAGCCAGCTTCAAGGACTGGCACATCAGCTTGTATTTTACCAGGAGATGAATGAGCCAGCTGCTCTCTAGATGGGAAACTCACCAACTCTCACCGTGCCCCATGACATGTGGCAGGGGCCAGGAGACTGTATGAGAGGATGGGTACAGAAGCTCTCTGTGACATCAAGTAATCACAAGAGGGGACTGGCTAAATATGTCCTACTTTTAAAAAGACAAGGTAGACAACATGAACCACGCCCATCTTGCAACAGTGAAGGAACCACAGAACCACTGCCCTGTGATGTGGTTTGTGTGAAAATGCACACAGCCACAAACACGGAAAACAGCAAGCGCTCCATACCATACCATACCACACCACACCACACCACACCACACCACACCATACCACACCATACCATACCATACCATACCATACCATATGAACAGTACACACATGTGGATGTTTTCATGCATAGAGAAGTCTGGGAGGATGGAACAGAAAACTTCTGGAGAGTGGGATTAGGAGGAACAGCAACCTTTATATGTTTAAGAGTAGCATATTTTTGAATCATTAAAAAGAATGCATAATAATTTTGAAAGTTACACAATAATGTAATGTGCTTCGGAGAAACTGTAACACTCATAGGGGCAAAGCCATGATAACAACTTTCAAATGCTTCAGCAATATTAATACATATTAGTAACGTTGGGGAGGGAGGGAGGGACTATGAAAATGGAAAGAACTGGGTCGACATGAAGGACACCCGGACCTTCGCTGCACTATTCCTGCAACCTTTGACTAAAGGTTAGAAATTTAAAAATAAATCAAGGTCAACTGAAAGGTCCTGGGAAGCTCCCTGCAGACCCAGGGAGAAGATACTAAGAAGGACCTATAGTGTCTGAGCAAAGCCTGGCCCTCTGAAAAGTGACAAGACTTTTTTTTTTGGCTGGGGGGGGGGGATGTCTTTTTTAGACAGGGTCTTCCTGTAGCCCCAGATGGCCTGGATTTATAGAGCCCCTGCCTTTGCCTCCCAAACACTGGGATTAAAGGTGGGCACTACTGCATCCAGCTGTAAAGTTTTTTTTATGGTCTTTTTGAGACAGGGCCTCCCTGTAGTCCCAGCTGTCCTGGAACTCACTATGTAGACCAGGCTGACCTTGAACTCACAGAGATCCGACTGCCTGTGCCTCCTGAGTGCTGGGACTAAAGGCATGTGCCAGGATGCCTGGCTTCTTTTTAAAATTTTTATGTTATTATTATTATTACTATTTTTTTTTTTTTTTGGTCTTTTTTAGACAGGGTCTCCCTGTAGCCCCAGCTGGCCTGGAACTTACTACATAGACCAGGCTGGCCTTGAACTCACAGAGATCCGCCTGCCTCTGCCTCCCAAGTGCTTGGCCTAAAGGTGTGTACCACCACACCTGGCTTAAACTGACAGGATTTTAACACATGATTTAAATGGTTTTATTTTTTCTATGACTTTTTACCCCCAAATAGTCAATGTCCTTAAGATATTGAAGGATCCCAGAATTTAGGTCCAGAAAGTTATGGTATAGTTCTCAGTCTAACCAAAGTCTTTGCTGACTCTGGTGATGCCCATGACTGGTTTGTACAATCCCACATAGCCACAGTTCAAGGGACATGGCTCAAGAGAGATCCTTCTTCTCACAACCCAGTCACAAGGTTCGTCTGAGTTGCTAAGAAGGTTCCAGATGGGTCTTCTGACAGGCATCATCACCTCCGATGATCTGCTCCAATGGCATCTGTGACCGTCTTAAAACCCTGCGCTCTGGAAGGAACACAAAGATGTCTGCGCCTGAAGGAAGCTGCATTCACCCACAACCTCATTGTTGGAAGGGACACTAGCCCAAGAGCTTACCGCTGAATACCAGTCCCACCTGGTGCACCTGGTGACCTGTACTCTGCCCAGAGACCTGCAGGTATATCCGCCCAGTAGGAAGGGAGCTGTTTTTATGTCCTGCCAGCTTCCTGACACTGAGCCAACATAAATGTGTTACCCCGCTTCACCTGGCTAGGATTCCTCAGTCCCGTCCCTGAGTATGTGGCAAACCTGCCTGGTAACCACCACTGCCTAAGTCAATCCAGAAGTCCCTCAGCACTTCTTGTCCTTTGTCAAAGGAGCAGATGAGAAATCCCCCTGTGTCCAGCGTTTCCCCTTCCTGGGAGTGAGCAATGAAGGAGGAAGGGCTTCACTCAGTCTTTCTGATCATGTCTCCTGACTGACTTGTCTCCTCAAGCCACCTGCAGCTGCACTCACTTTAGGAGTGCCTCCAGCTCACGCTTGACCCTGACAACGACGGGCGGCCCCTGGAAGGTGAGGGCCGTGTACAGCTGCACCAGCGAGGCCCCGGCCTGGATCTTCTCCAGCGCGTCCTGCCCACTGCTCACACCGCCTACCCCGATGATGGGAATCCTGCCTGCGGAGAAGCACACAGCCACACCAGCATGGAAGGTATGAGACCCAGGGCTCCAAAGGGCCCCAGCCCTCAATCCCAGCGACCTGCATGAGGGAAGAGCAGAGCCCCACACATGTCTAAGGAAGCCTTGCCTTGGGTGAGGGCGTACATCTCCCGGATGGTTTGAGTGGACAGATCTCGCAGCGGCTTCCCACTCAGCCCTCCTGTCTCAGAGCGCAGAGCATCCTGGAGGCCAGCAGGGCGACTCACTGTGGTGTTAGTGACAATCAATCCATCGATGCCCAACTACAGTGGGAGACAGAGAAAAAGACTTAACCCTTGAAATAAACAAGTTTCCCTGGAGTTGTGAGGCAGCCGCCAGGCCAGGAACCTGCTCTGCAGAAGTAGGACCCTCACAGGTCTCAGGTCTCTAACTGGGGGCAGTATCAGAATGAGCTTCAACATGACACATCCATCTCACATTAAACCCACCACATTCCTAAAACAGGGTTTAATCCTTACAACAAGCTGTCAGGTAGTGCTGTGTCTGAGGCCCCCAGGGAATAAGTGGTAGAACCAGGATTTGAACCCAGGGCTTCTGGGCTCCTATGTTTCTCCACTACTCTCCTTTGACATAGAGCCCTGGTGTTGAGACTAGTTGGAGGGAGACAGAGAATAGTCTAGTCCCAGCTGAGGCTGGCAGAGGTTAACACAGGCTTTAGGCTTGCTGGATGAAGATAAGGAGAGAGGGCGTGAGAAGGATTCATCAAGTATGTTTTTCAAGCATCCCTTTTTACCACTGGATAAGTTATATACTGACAGACACTCCCGCAGCCTCCCACCTCAGAGAGGAGGTCATCAACCATGCCACTCTGAGCTCTCCTAGGATGCCAAACAGCCTCTACGGACAGCGAGGGCTGCCCCCACTCTACCTTGGCACCCAGACTCTCACCTCTCTTGCCACACTGGCAATGTCTTGCTTGTCCTGGGCTGTGAGGTCAGGGGCAATCTTCACTAGCACTGCTGGCTTCTGCAGTCCCTCCAAGGCATCCCTCTCCTGCAGCACCTAGGGTGACATGCCAGAGATGGGGTCCCCAGGCCACAGCCCAGTGGGGCAGGTCAGTGTTTTCACATACACTTCAACTAAAGCAGAGTGACTTCAGACCCCTGAAATCAGGTATACAGGGCCCCATCAATGTGGATTCGGCTCAGTTCTTTTGAACCAAGGGATCTCAACTAGTATCAGATAACAGCTTAAGGGTTTTGACTTTTGTTCCTAAAAAACAAAGCAAGGAAATAGTGTCACAGTACTGCGCAATGAAGTTATTCAGTTCATGCACCACATGCTAGGAGCAAAGTGATAAGTTATGGTTTAACAGCAGGGATAGATAACTGAAGAGATCATTACAGTTGTATATGGGGTGGGGAGGCAGTGAGAGATCAGGGTGCTTTGGGAGGGTGTGGTGAGGACTTCTAACTGGCCAGGTGTGAAGAACATCTTCTCCTGGAGGTGCTGACATTTCATCCTGAAAAATGGGCAGGAATGAGGAAAGCTGGCTAGAGACAGGACTGTGTAATGACCCACCTTGGTCAGCAGGCGGCGCAGCTCAGCCTTTCCCTGCAGGCTCCTCAGACCAGCAGTGTTGGGACTGGACACATTCACCACCAGGTAGTCAGCCAAGGGGCCCAGGATGCGGACACCCTCTGCGTAGTCAGCAGCAGCATCCATCGATGTTTTGTTCTTTCCCAGGTTTATTCCCAGAGGCAGCCCGTCTGTAAACATCACTGGTCAGGGGTGCAGCCCCCGAGTTTGTGGGAAACATTCTGAAGAAAGGTTAGACTGGAGTTCGAGACCCGTTCCCAAACCTAAAGTTTCCTGACCAGCTGACAAAGACGCCTTGAACTCACAGAGATCCACCTGCCTCTACCTCCCGAGTGCTGGGACTAAAGGCCTGCGCCACCAAGCCGGCTACACTTTTTTTTTTTATTAATTTTATGTGTATGAGTGTATTGCCTGCATCTTTGTGAGTGCACCTGTGTTGCGCAGTGCCGTGGAGGTCAGCTTTGGATTCCCCTGGAACTGGAGTTAAGAATGGTTCGTAGCCACCATGTGGGTTCTGGGAATCAAACTCGGGTCCTCTGCAAGAGCAGTCAGTGCTCTTAACCGCTGAGCCATCTCTCCAGCCCCCGGCTACACTTTTTATTTTTAAAAATTAAAGTGGGAAATTGGAGATGTAAATACTAGTGATTACAGAAAATGGCAGGAAGCTGTGAGCGGTGACACACACTTGTAATCCTAATCCTTGGAAGGTGGAGGCAGGAGGATCGAGTACAATCCACTACAAAGCAAGCTCAAGGCCAATCTGGGCTCCATGAGACCCTCTCTCAAATAAAACCAAAATGATAATAATAATAACAATAATTAAAAAAATAAAAAATAAAAAAAGCAGGCAGGGCTAGGGATGTATCAGCTCAGTGCTAGAGCACAGACTTAGCATACATGGTTCCCAAGGTCAAGTCCCAGCACCAAAAGAAAAGTAGCTTTAAAAAGTTAATGGAGGGGCTGGAGAGACCACTCAGCAGTTAAGAACACTGGCTGTTCTTGCAGAGGGCCCGGGTTCAAATCCCAGCACCCACATGACAGCTAACAACTGTCCATAACTCCAGTTCCAGAGGATCTGACAGTCTCTTCTGTTCCCCATGGGCACTGCATGACATGGGTGCACTTACCTACATGCAGGCAATACACACACACACACACACACACACACACACATCAGTTATAACAAGGTCTTGGTGCTTCCTAAGTCTAGCTCAAGCCAGGACCATTTGGCCGCAGCATATGGCACTTCATGAGAGTACTGGACTTTCCATTAGTGGCCATGTAGCCACCCTGGCAAGATTCTGGAGTCATGAATGGCTGAATGGCCCTTTCCCCAGAGAACATCATCACATCTACCAACTCACGGCCCTCAACATGGTGCTGGCAAGAAGTTCCTGGTGCCCAGCACATACACATGGGCAAAGCGCAGGCACAGGACTCTGTCTGACTCCAACAAATGTGAGGGCAAACTCAGGGTGAGGAGCGGGTAGGGTGAACAGGTAATAAAGCTAGTTCACAGAGTGCAGCAGGCATTAAAAAGAAAAACTGTAGCCAGGCATGGTGGCACACGCCTTTAATCCTAGCATTTGGGAGGCAGAGGCAGGTGGATCTCTGTGAGTTCAAGGCCAGCCTGGTCTACATAGTGAGTTCCAGGACAGCTGGGGCTACAGGGAGACCTTGTCCAAAAAAAAAAAAAAGAAAAAAAAAGAAAAACTGTAAGACAAGAGGAGAAAAATCACAAACCTTGAACATCAGGGCTCTGCAGAGCTATCACACGCAGGGTCTGGCTCGGTTAAAGCCAGGGGGTTCTAAACATGCCACGTCCTGTTCTCACAATCTGAACTTGCCGAATGCCTCATCCCTTCTCCCTCCTTTCCTCAAATAAATGCACAAGTCACTGGCTTCCTCATGCCAGGACATCTAATGACTAAGCCCTCCAAAGGAAAACGAAATTCTTCCTCCCAGGCTGCAGCCTCTTACAACCCAGAGGGCACCTGGGAAGCCATGGGCAGGATGCCAACTCCCAGGGGTACAACCCCAAAATGCACCTCAGGAACAGCAGAGCAGACCAGGGAGGACAAACATGAGCATCTCCATGGCAGCATCAGAAGTGCAGTGTTTCTGAAACTGACACGGACCAGATGCTGACACCAGGTCCCAGTGAGGAGGAGTGCTGTCCCTCCCCACTTTAGCTCTTCCAGAATTAATGAAGTAGACAGGACACAGGGCAGGATGTGGGAAGACGGCACTCAGGTCCTGCTCAGGCTGTAGCTTCCCACATGCCACACACATGCTTTGCTTACCTTCAAGCCCCCTGAGGTTTGACACAACTCACACACATGCTTTGCTTACCTTCAAGCCCCCTGAGGTTTGACACAACTCACACACATGCTTTGCTTACCTTCAAGCCCCCTGAGGTTTGACACAACTCACACACATGCTTTGCTTACCTTCAAGCCCCCTGAGGTTTGACACAACTCAAGTACCATGGGCACCACAGGCCAGCAAGGCTTTGCTGAATTATGACATTCAGTTCAAACCTTTGAGGCTGTGGTGGAAGCCGGTAGTTCTCCCTAGGAGAGGAGTCTGAATTCCTTTGCTCTTTTCTAATTGATGTCATGTGTTCTCTGGGAATGCGCCCATGCTTCCCCCATGTTTCTTTCTAATAGAGGAAGAAAGCCCTCCTAGGCACCTCACTTTACCTGCAGTGAGCTTGGTCTGCTTCTGCTGTCTGGCCCGTAATCTGCGTTCAACCGCTGAGAGTCCATGGCTGTTAAATCCGTACCTAAGAACACATACCACAGGGGACAGGGTGCAGTTAGAAGGCGATGTCTTAGAAAAGGGTCTGAGACCATAATCTGCATTGTCAACTTGATGGGACTTAGAATCACTATGCAAACACACCTCTAGTGTATCTATAAAACAGTTTCCAAAAAGGTATAAAAGAGTAAGGGAGACACATCATGAATGGGGGCAGGAGCAACCAATAGGCTAGAGTCCCAAACTGAATAAAAAGGAGAAAGTGTGGGGCTAGAGAGATGGCTTAGTGATTAAGAGCACTGGCTGCCCTTGAGAAGACTGAGTTCAAATCCCATCTCCCACACAGTGACCACAACTGCCTATAACTCCAGTTCCAAGGGATCCAACACCCTTTTCTGATCTCTGTTATAAATGCAACACAGGTGCACTTACCTACACACAGGCAATACACTCATACACATAAAAAAATAAAAGTAACTAATCAAAAAAAAAAAACAAGGAGAAAGGGGATTGAGCACCAGCGTTCACCACTCTCTGCTTCCTGACTGTGGGCACAATGTGACCAGCTGCTTCATGTCCTGCCCCCATTATGGACTGCACCCGAAACGGTGAGTCACAATAGAGCCGTCCTTCCTAAAATGGCTTTTTGTCAGGCATTTTGTGGCAGCAACAAGAAAAGCAATACATTTTGGTTAAGTCACCTCGCTGTTCGCAGGGAGAGGCAAACAGCAGACACAGTGGCACATGGACTTGCTGACCTCAGAAACGCACTCACCCCTCCATCATGTGAACACTGAATACACACCATGTACCATCAAGAGCACGGAAGCTAAGTGTACGAATGCCGAGAGTGTGGGCTCCTCTCCTCCACTCCCTGACCCACAGGACTGTACCAAGCACCATCACCCTTGGGCCTGAGGCCACCTGTGACAACCAAATCAAAACACACACGTATGGTGTGACCAGTCCTGAAGCTACTGCTCGCCGCCCGCAGTGTAGCTTGATGTCTGCTGCAGGGCCGGTTCCTGGACCACGCACACCAGAGCAGGAGGCAAAGCCACGTGGCTGTCCAAGTTTCCAAGGTGGCTCCTAAAATTTGGCTAGTGGGAAGTACTGAGCCTTCCCTTTCTGGGTCTGATGTAATACAAATTGCCCAGGACCACAAAGGGTAGGGCTTTACAGTCTGGAAGGACTTCCCCTCCTAAAAGCAGCTGTCTATGTTGAATACTAAATTCTTTTGTTCGCTGAAGGCAAAGGTCACCTGTGTGGTACCAGAGCTGTGACCCCACGTGGCTCCTCAACCCTGGAACTGGGGCTGGTCCACAGTGAGACGTGCTGCAGGTAAGAGGCATGTTGGTGCTGGAGGCAAATAAGAGGAAGCTACCTGATCGGTAATTTCTCCTAGGAGGTCTCTGGAATATTTTAAATTACACGTGAGACTCACATTATAGTTCTCCAGGCCAGCGATGGACAAGTTCCATGGAATAACAAACTACAAAAGCCAACAAGCCCAGGCCTTCTTGGGCTTTCCTGCTGTCATCCCTGTGGCTAGCTCGGTCAGCTCACAGAGCCTCGGTGTGTGCACCTGTCACACTGAAACAATTACAGCTGTTTTCCAAGGCTGGCTTGGAGCTCTTTGCCTAGTACATGGTAGATGCTCAACAGGACTCCTGAACATTCCAAACAATAGAAGAATGTCTATATATTATATGAGAAAAAACACAGGGCAGAGCTTCTATTTCAGAGACTCCAACAGGACATATGTCCCTGTCACACTAGGCCATGACCTACCTGTTAATGACAGCTTGGTCCTCAGTGAGACGGAAGACTCTGGGTCTAGGGTTTCCTTCCTGAGGCTGTGGGGTCACACTTCCTACCTCAACAAAACCAAATCCCAGCTTGTAAAGTCCGTCCACTGCTTCCCCGTGCTTGTCAAAGCCTGCAGCAAGCCCTACTGGATTTCTGAATTTATGGCCCAGGACTTTCACTTCCTGGGAAGATGGAGACAAAGTTAGAGGGACACAAGGCTACACCAATGTTTCTAACAATGAGTCCCCCAGCATCCTACTTTGGAGTTCCCCAGGAGCACGCTCAACATCACTAGGCCCACAGAATAGGGGTCTTTGGGAGGAAGGGCACTCTGAGGAATTGATCTGGGCTCTGCAGGTGGTTCAGATGCCTACTGGAGTCTGACACCACGAGACCTCAAGGTAGGAGGCAGTGTTCCCACAACAGGTAAACAGGAGACAGACGCCATCTTTTCCAACCACAATGTATCCTATCTACTCAACCTGGACAGGAGAGGGGTCCTTGGTGTCGGCCTCTAGGTCAACTACTCTAACACCAGAAGTATCAATGAGCGGACTCCATAATCATCCTAACAAAGCAGCCCTGGCTGACCCCTCCTCCCCAGCTCTAAGAAGCCCGGACCACAGGCTCTGTGGGGAGTTAGAGGGAGGACAGCAGGCAGACTCTGGTACTGGCTCCACAAGCTCTTAGAGGTCAGGCAAGGCAAGTGTCCCTGAGGGAGAAGCCACGTGGTCCTGGAAGCAGGAGGTGGGAAAGGCACTCACAGCACAATGAAGTTAAGAACATGCGTGCAGCACCCAGAATAGTGAGGCAAGAAGTGGCTATAACAGGCTTCCTTGAGGGGGGCAGCTCTCCACTCTGGCTGTACACAGAGGCCCGAAGGCAGCTGTCAGGCCTCTCTGAAATTATAGTTAAATTGATAGGGCAGGAGGCCAGAGCATCTGAACACTTCAAAAGCACACCCCCCCCCACCCCCGCAGGAGAGTCTAACCATGAATAAGAACTGATGAGTTAGGAAACAATGAAGAATTAAAACTAGAAAGATTTTAATCCTCAGCTGGCTCAGGGGTTAAGAGCAAGGAGCCGCACCCACATGGCTGTCAACAAGCATCCACAACTCCAGTTCCAGGACGCCCTCTTCTGACCTCCGCAGGCATGGAACGATATGGGTGCACTTACAGACATGCAGGAAATACACTCATACCCCCAAAATAAAAATTAAAAAATTTTTAATTAAAAAAACAAACTAGAAAGGTCAATGGGGTGACAGTGTCACCGGCCTAGCTGTTAGTTAAGGAGTAGGGCCCACTGGGCGGAGTGGTACATACTGATCCCAGTACTCGGGAGGCTGAGGTTGGGGAATCATTTGAGCCAACAAGTTCAAGACCAGCCTGGACAAGAGACCTGTCACAAAAGGGAAAAGGGCCCCTGATTTCTAACAGTGACCCTTCCCACAAAGAAGTCTGACAGCCTCTTCTTTGGGTCTTTGTATTCAAATTGCTGCTAACCTCATTTGATAAGAAGTATAAAAATGCCAAGGCTTATGTGAGGTATAAATTCTGGGAGGCTGTGTGCCTTCCTAGTTCACTTCAGTCATCACACAGCACAGCAATGGGGGCAGGGGAGCCCAGGGGTGAGTAGTGCTTGAATGAGGCTGTGGTGGGTGTTTGCCTAGAACATAGCAGGACACACCTGCACGCACCAACTGTCTAATGGCTCCAGCTCACTTCTCTGTTCCGCAGAGGGACCTCAGCAAGGCAGCATGGTAGCCGTGCTGAATGCCAGAGCCACACTCCATGGGTTTGATTCCTGGTTCTGCTATCTCCTAGCTGTGCCACTTTGGGCAAGTCACTGACCTACTCTCTATCTACCTCCATTTCCTGGAGCTCTGGTTTTAAAAAGCTCAGTCCCAACTGAGAAGTACTAGGGATCTGACCTCCTCTGTATACCCAAATCTAAAACACAAGGTGATCCAGGAGCACCTACCAGCATGTCAGAGTCTTGAAATGTAGCTCGAGGAAGGAGTCCCAGGGAGCTGAGGCGAACAGCCAACCTGTGGGCTGACTCTGGGTCCAGCAGTCCCTGCAGGACTGGCATCAGGTATTCAGCATAGAAACGCTCATCTCCCTTGGCTGTCAGGTAAGAGGTGAAGAAAAGTCCTCCACCCCCCAGGATGATGACTGCATCCAGGGCCCGCTTCTGGAAAAAAAAAGTCCATTAGGACCTCCATCAGACCAGGCTGCAGCACCCTCCCTGATCCTTCACTTCTACCCAGAAGGAAGACATAACAGCCCTCCCCTGCTAACACTGCCCCCTTCACTTCCTACCCCACTCACACACAGGCTCTGGCCCTGAAGATTTTCCAAGGATAGTAGCCAGAGGGTTTCAAGACTGGCAGTATTGCCCCCTAGCAGGCAGAGGGGGCAGTTTTTACTGGTTAATGATAGAGCAATGTTAAAAAGACCTGGTATATTCGAATCAGTCACAATAGCCTTCTTTGCTTGATGCTGACAAACTAATTGCCCTGTATAATATATGAACATGCTACTAATATTCATGTGGTTAAAAAAACTTTGTATTGGGGCTAGAGAAATGGCTGCCTGGTTAAGACCACTTGCTGCTCTTGCAGAGGACCTGGTTTGATTCCGAGCACCCACATGGTGACTAACAACTCTCCCTAACTCCAGTTCCAGAGCATCCGGTGCCCTCTTATCTCCATGGGCACTGCATGTATATGGTACACTTACATATATGCAAGCAAAACACTCAAACCAAAAATAAACTTTTTAGAAAATGTGCATTATATGAGTCAAGAGGCATATGCTATTTCACCACATAAACGTTATCTCCCACATAGTTTACATGCATACTGTGACTTTTCCAGGAGTACAGGTGTGTTGGACAGCGTCAGTTGTCAACTTGACACACCTGAGAAGAAGGAACCTCAATTGGGAAATTTCTGCTATCAGGATGGCCTGTGGGCACATCTGTGAGGCATTTCCTTGATTGCTGAGTGATGTGGGAGAGCCCAGCCCATAGTGGATAGTACCACCCTTGGTCAGATGGTCCTGGGTTACAGAAGAAAAGAGGCTGAGCACAGGCCAGAGAAGCAAGTCAGTAAGATGCCTTCCTTCGTGGTCTGTGCTTCAGCTCCTGTCCCAAGATTCATGCCCTGGCTTCCCTCAGTGATGGACCGTCACCTGGAAGAGGCCCTTGTCTCAAGGTTCCTGCCCTGGCTTCCTTCAGTGATGAAAGAAACCCTTTCCTCCTCACGTTTGCTTTGGTAAGAGCGTTTTTTTGTTTCGTTTTGTTTTTATATGTAATATATAAATGTGTTGCGTGTGGGTAAGTGCACCCATGTCATGCAATGTCCATGGAGGTCAGAGAGGGTGTCGGATTCCCCGGAAACTGGAATTACAGATAGTTGTTAGCTACCATGTGGGTGCTGGGACTCGAACCTGGGTCCTCTACAAGAACAGCCAGTGCTCTTAACCACCGAGCCATATCTCCAGCCCTGGTCAAAGCATTTTATCATAGCAATGGAAACCTAACTTAGAACAACAGGTACCTTGTAAACTGAAGGATATAAAAAATAACCAAGAATTAGTTACCATTTTTAAAACCCTATCAGAAAGGGTACAGTGCTTTGTTTACCAAGGCACACCTGTGACATTTGTTTCTAAGTAGCGATTTAAACACCTGGCCATCTTACTTAGCTATGTTCCAATATTTACATATTGAAATGCATGTTTTCTTTTAATTTCTCCTTTTGCTGTGGGTAGGACATGATATTGTTTTAAAATTATACATAGACGTTATTAACCAGAAGTGTTATATATATATATAAAGTTGTGATATAAAAGTTTCTGTCTTGTTTAGTGGAGAATCACTATTACAACTCAAAAGTGGTTCACCATGCATGCCTTTTTGGTGATTAACACTGCCACATGCTAAGTCGTTAATGCGTTCATCGAAGGCAAACAAAACAGACATGGTCCCTGTCCTCACGGCGAGTGCAATCTCATGAGACAAATAATGACCTGTAAATATGGAGCCATGAAAACTGGCATGCTGGAACAAGTACTGTTTGGGATAATAGGAGGACCTGAGGAAGTGACCTAAAACTCACCTTCAAAGGGTAAACAAAAGTTAACGAGAAGGTGGCCGAAAGAACCGAGAAGCGGCAGAGAATGGGGGTAAGGGGTAAAAGCACCGCTTCAAATGAGACTAGAAATGTGTGGCGCGTCAACCAAAATAAAGATTTGGGTTGTTCACTAAACAAAGACGTAAACGATGTGATCAGCTTTGCTTGCAAGGACCCCCTCCAAGTTGCTGGTGTATCGCAAACCACGTATTCATCTGCCGAAACGCCTGTCCGGTCAAGCAACGAGCATCCTAGCACCAGTTCCAAATCAGACCCGGACGCAACCAAGATCGGGTCACGAGACTCCAGTTCTGCCAAACTCGACCGGAAGGCCACCCTTTCACTCTTACTACTTTCTGCCTGGGATCCAGCACGCGAGGCTGGGCGAACCCGTCCTCGCGGCCTCCGCCGGACACGCACCCTGCCTACCACTCTCCCGCCACACCCGGTCCTCCGGCCTCCGCACCCCGTGATCGCCCGCACTCACTTTCAGGTGAGTCCACGCCATGCTCCTTCTCCAGTGGGCCCGCCTCTGCCTCGTCCTCATTGGAGGACGTGGCCTCGGCTCCACCCACCTCCCCGGCCTCGCCAGGCCCAGCAGGGAGCCGGAGGGCGGGACGAGCACCTGGGTGACCCGAAGGGTCCCTCCGCCCCTAGATTCTGATTGGACGGCTGCGGGCGCGGGCGCACCACCCAGATGCACGCCCCTTCCGCCTTGGGGGCCGTCTGGGCTGCTGGTTGGTGTGGCTTCGCTCGGTGCTGGTGCTGAATCTTGCTGCCTCTCTTCTGGGCGTCTGTGTGGAGCCGGGGCTCCAGGCAAGGAAATGGTTTCCAGAAGCTTCTGAAGTGGGGAGCAGTCCGAGGTCTGCAGAACCGAAGTCGAAGCCCCGGACCCAGCGCCTGGTACTGGGCACTACCGGAATGCTTCCTGGTCCTCGGAAGGAAACAAGGGACGCTGCAGCCTAAGGGGTCCCTCATAGTTGTCTTTATGCCAGTACAACAGTATGACCTCGTGAGCCCCTTCCTGCAGCAGAAAAATTCTGAATTACATTTTATGGGGTGTACAAGTGTCAACATGTGAACCATAAGTACATAAGAATTCTACTTGTCTTTTTTAAACTAAGCTACCAAAGGAGAAAAAATAATCGTTAGTCCTACTGCAATCTTACGGGCTGGGAAGACATCCCTAGGGTTGCGGTAGTGGCGCTATTGTCTTGGGTATGACCGACAGCTGTCTAATTGGACTTGAGGTTCACTCAATAGGAGGGAATTCATATCTAGTGCTGTAAACAGCCAGCTACAGTAGCTGGAGGTCATAGATTCTAGAGGAGAACCTACTACTGCCATTTCCCTAAACCAATACAGTTTCTAACCATAGTCTAAGAACTTACTCTTTATACCCACAGATAAGTGTAGCTCTCACCATTCATCAAAGAAGCTTCTTTTTTGCAACAAACAGTGGCAACTACGGAAATCACAACTCGTCAAAATGCCGAGAATAAGTGACTGTGGAGTGCCCAGCTCCAATTCGTATAAGTACAACACAACCCCTACACCTCAGGAAGGGGTTGTGGAAACATGGCAGAAGATGGGGCGGGAAGATTTTTAAGAACCTGAGGACCAGGATGCCTGCTGCCAGATCGTGTCTTCTAGGCATGACAAGGATGCTGAACCCATGAAATCTCAACAATATGGTTACCTAACCACACCTGTGTTATGTAACACCACCAGTTGACTTGCCAATTGCCAACCGGGATGGGGGAAATTTCATAAGTACCACTCCTAGATAAACAGCTATAGGCAACCAATGGCTGCTAAGAGAGGGAGAATCAGTCTCCACCAGAGATGAGTCCCTGATAGGTTATCCACTTCCAAATGGTCAGCCCTAAACACATACATAAGAGCAACACTAAAATAGGCTCAGTAGGTTTATGTGTGTATGTGTATATATGTGTACTAATAAGTAATGAGCTTCAGAGGGGAACATGGGAAGAGTTGGAGAGGGAAAAGGGAAGGGTATAAAGTATGTAAATATAGTACTCAAGTATAAATTTCTCCACAAACCCACACGTGTTGATAAATGAATATATATTTTTATTTATTTTTAAGACAGTCATGCTATGTAGCCCGGGCTGCTCTAAAATTAACAGTCCTCCTGCCTCAGCACTCAAGAGCTGATATTACAGGAATGTGCCACCATGCTAGCTGTCTCTATTTAAAATTTCTTTTGGGGACTGAGTATGGTGGCACATGCTTTTAATCTCAGCACTGAGAAGGCAGAGGCAGGTGGATCTCTGCAAGTTCAAGGTCAGCTTAATGTACATAGTAACTTACAGGCCTACCAGTGCTGCACAGTGAGACCCTGTCTCAAAAGAAACAAAGATGGCCAGGAGTGGTGGCACACACCTTTAATGCCAGCACTCAGGAGGAAGAAGCAGGCAGACCTCTGTGAGTTTGAGGCCAGCTTGGTCTACATAGTTCCAGGCCAGCTGGGACTACATGGAGACACTGTTTCAAGAAAAGAAGAGAAAAGAAAAGAAGAAAAGAAAGGGGAAAGGGGCTGGAGAGATGACTTAGTGGTTAAGAGCACTGGCTATTCTGTTCCCAGCACCCACATGGAGCCTAACACCTATCTAACTCTTCCGGCCAGCATGGGCATTGCACATGGTACTCACATACATGCAGGAAAAACACTTATACACATGAAATAAAAATAAATCCAAAAAAATTTAAGTGAAGTAGAATTCAGCCATAAATCCATTTAGTTCAGGGCTTTTGTTATTGTTGCTGACTCCCTAAATAGTGCTCCAATCTCATTCTTACACACTGATTTTAGTTACTTATATATTCTTGGTTTAATTTTGCAGGTCATGTGTCTAGAAATTTATCCATTTCTACTGGATTTTTCCAACTTATTGAGTTATGAGCATTCAAAGTATTCCCTAATGGCCCTTAAATTTAAATGCTATCGGTTGCAATGCCCTCCTTTTCAATTCTGATTGTAATTTGTTCTCCCTCTGTGTGTGTGTGTGAGTGTGTGTGTCTGGGTGTGACTGTTTGTCAATCTGGTTACCTTTCAAAGAGCCAGCATTGTTTCACTGCTTCCTTGGATTGAATTTAGCCTTCATCTTATTGTGTCTGTCCTGATCTTTACTATGTGCTGGCTGTGACTTTGGCTTGTTTTTGCTTTTCTAAGATATTGAAGTGCATTATTAGGCTATTCACACACCCTCTGACTTTCTTTTTAATGTAGGCACACAGCTATAAAATTCCCTACTAGAATTGCCTTTGCTATACCCCAAAGGCTCTGGCAGGTTGTGTTGCATTTTCATTTAAGTCTAGAACTTTTAAATGAATGTGATCTATTTTGAAGAATGTTCCATGGGCCACTGAGAGGAATGTGTGTTCTGCAGTTTGGGGTTGAGTATCCTGTCGATCCATGTTAAATCTAATTAAACAATGGAACAGTTTTCTTCATAAATTTCTTTGTTGTTTTTTTTTTTTTTGAGGGGTCTGAATGATCAATCTCTTGATAAGAGTGGAGTATTGAAGTCACCCACCACGATTATTGTATCTGGAACCTATCTGTTCCCTTCCATTTGGTAGTGTGTGTTCTATGAAATTGGGTACACTAAGGTACCATGCCTAATATTTACTATCATTTTATCTTTGTGGTGTATTGCTCACTTCAGAGAGAGAGAGAGAGAGAGAGAGAGAGAGAGAGAGAGAGAGAGGCCAGAGGTCAATACTTAGTGTCTTTTTAAAAATTATTTTTATGAGCCAGGCATGGTGGTGCACGCCTTCCTTTAATCCCAGCAGTCAGGAGGCAGAGGCAGGTGGATCTATGTGAGTTCAAGGCCAGCCTGGTCTACACAGTGAGTTCTAGGCCAGCTGGGGCTACAAGGGGACCCTGTCTCAAAAAGACCACAAAAAAATTATTTTTATTATGTGTATATGTCTGTGCATGTTAATCCAAGTGCGTGTAGGAGTCCAGAGACATTCCCAGGACCCAGAGATACAGGTGGTTGTGAACCACCTGATGTGGGTTCTAGGAATTGAACTCAGGTCCTCTGGAAGAGTAGTATGTGCTCTTAACTGCTAAGCCATCTCTCAGCCCCTGACTTTCTTGATCACTCTTCACCTTAGTTTTTCAGAGGGGGTCTCATTGAATCTAGAGCTCATCAATTGTGATAGGCTCACTGGCCAATGAACTCCAGGGATCTGCCTGATCCCGGCGTGCCCCACCCCCACCGTGGGAATTACCCAAGCATGCTTCTGTGTTTGATTTTTACATGGTGCTGGGGATCCAAACTCAGGTACTCAGATTTGCACAGCAGGCACTGACAGCCATCTCCCCAGCCCTTGTAGTGACCCTCTTTATCAGTTTTATTTTTGATTTGGAGTCGGGGGAGGGGTTGTTTTTTGTTTTGTTTTGTTTGGGGGGGGTTGGTCATTTTGAAACAGGGTCTCATAACCCCAGCTGGCCTAGATTCACTGTGTAGATTGGGCTGGACTTGAACTCACAGAGATCCGTCTGCCTCTGCCTCCCTCTGCCTTCCAAGTGCCAGGATTAAAGGCGTGTGCCACCACTCCCAGCTGAAGTCTTTTTTTTTTTTGGTCTTTTTGAGACAGGGTCCCCCTGTAGCCCCAGCTGTCCTGGAACTCACTATGTAGACCAGGCTGGCCTTGAACTCACAGAGATCCGCCTGCTTCTGCCTCCCAAGTGCTGGGATTAAAGGCATGCACCACCACACCTGGCTGGAGTCTACTTAAAAAAAAAAATTAGTGTTATATTTTTTAGTGTGTATGAGTGTTCTGCCTGCATGTATGTAAGTGTACCAATATGCGTGCCTGGTGCCCGTAGAGACCAGAAAAGGGTGTCAGATCCCTAGAACTGGAGTTATAGATAGCTACCATGTGGGTGCTGGGAACCCAACCTGAAAGAAGGAATCTTAACCTCTGAGCCATCTCTTCAGCACCTGTTTTAAGATATCAAAACACCTCTTTGTTTTCTGCTTGCCCTTGCTTGGTACATCGTTTTCCTTTGATTGTTGTTTGTTTTTGTTTTATTTATTTTTTGTGGTACATAGTTTTCTATCCTTTGACTGTCATTGTTCTGCCAATGAGGTATGTTTATTGCAGATAACAAACTGTTGGACCTTATGCTTTGACTCAACTGATCTAATGTAGGTCATGATATTAATCCTCTTTGAAAAGATTTAATTAGGGAAGAAATGACATAATGCAATGGAGATTCAGAGGAGGAAAAACTATTTCCAGCCTTTGAGGTGAACATAAAAGAAAAATGCCAGATTACTTAAAAGGCAAATTCATAAGAATGACATCAGACTGACCAGGAGAAAGCCAGAAAAGCATGGAATGATATAATACAATCCCCAGAACAAATAACTACCAACCAGGATTACTGTATCCAGCAAAATTATCTTTCAGAATTGATGAAGCTATAAAGACCTTCCAGGACAAACACAATTCGTGACCACAAAACCAGCATTGCAGAAGATAAAGGAATTCTACACATAGAAGAAGAAAGACTTGCAAACACGAGAGCTCAAACAGAGATAAGTTTGATGAAAGGAATGGTTAACAGATGAGAAGAAAAAAATTATCAGACACATTCCACTCAGTAACAAAGTTCCTAAGATTAATACAAGAAAAAAGGAACTAATAGTATTCAAGATGCCAAAAACAACTGAATGACAGGAATAGCAATAATAAATCCTAGATGTAATTATTCTCAACTCTCTAATTAAAAGACATAGATCAGGAGCTGGAGAAATGGCTCAGTGGTTAAGAGTGCTGGTTGTTCTTGCAGAGGACCCAGGTTCAGTTCCCAGCACCCACATGGTGGCGAACAACTATCAGTAACTCCAGTTCCAGGGGATCCAACACCCTCTTCTGGCCTCTACAGGCATGCACACACTTGATGCATTTGCATACATTGCAGGCAAAACACTCAGACACATAAACTAAAAATAAAACATTTTAAAAAAAGAATGCTTCTGGGGCTGGAGTGATGGCTCAGCAGTTGAGAGCATTGACTGCTCTTGCAGAGGACCTGGGTTTGATTCCCAGCACCCACATGGTGGCTACAAACTGTCCTTAACTCCAGTTCCAGGGGAATTGGAAGCCCTCTTCTGACCTCTGTGGCATTGTACAACATGGGTGCTCTCACATACACACAGGTAATACACTCATTCACATAAAATATTTTAAAAAAAGAGTACTTCTGGCCGGGTGTGATGGTGCATGCCTTTAATCCCAGTACTCAGGATGCAGAGGCAGGCAGATCTCTATGAGTTCAAGTCCAACCTGGTCTACATAGTGAGTTCCAGGACAGCTGAGGCTACAGGAAGACCCTATCTCAAAAAAACCAAAAAAAAAAAAAAAAAACTTCAATATTTTTAAATTTATTTTTATGTGTATGAGTGTTATGCCTGCATGTATGTAAGTGTACCTGTGTCATGCAGTGGACACAGAGGACAGAAGAGGGTGTGGGATCCTGTGGAAGTGGAATTATGGATAGTTGTTAGCTGCCATGTAGGTACTGGGATTCAAACCAGCACCCAGTGTTCTACAACAACAACCAGTGTTCTTATCCACTGAGCCATCTTTCCAGCCCTACTTCAGTATTTTCAAACTAAAAAATATCTCCTCAGATTCTGTGCTTTAGAGAATGTTTAACTCTGGTTTCTGCTTCTGTAATTATTTTCAAAAGACAGGTGTGTGGTAAGAGCTAAGAATGTAGCTGGGTGGTAGAGTGCATGCATGAGGCCTAGGTTCAATTCCAGCACCACACACAGAAAAAGGGTGAACGAAAATGAGCTTTATTTGGACCACCTGGATAACCATTTTAACCCTGAAACCCCCCAAGTGTTTCAGTACCATGTTTGTTTGCATTCGTGATTACTTTCTGGCACCAGAAAAAGAACAAGATGTGCAGGTAAATGATGGGTGTGTGGCAGGTGAAGCAAAGGTTTCTTCAGCAAATAACAGGAACAAAACGAGAGAATTGATGTTTCCCAATGGCGTGGAGTCCTGTGCATGCCAAACTGAAAGGAGCCTCTGCCGTCAAAGACCAGAACTGTGTTTATCTGCTGTTCAGTTCAATCACATTTGGATTCTGTTAGTTTTGCTTATATTTAATTTGTTATTCATTCTCTCATCAAATATTTATCTGGCTGTTGCAGTTGGGTAACAGCTTTAAAATATAGTTCGTGTCTGCTTTGGGTTGTGGGTACTTAAGAAACAGAATCCCCTCAATGGAACCAATCCTGGTGGCAGCAAACATGTAGGATGAAGAAACTTAGAGATTATCAACAGTCTCTGCTATTATGTGTTAAAATTGCACTGTGGGAGGGGTTCATGCTACATGAGTGGATTTCAGCTGCTCTTGCCACAGAATTTTTTAGAAGATTGCTAGATAGGATAAGTTGTTTCATTATATAACATTAATAAATGTGGCCGGATGGTGGTGCACGCCTTTAATCCCAGCACTTGGGAGGCAGAGGCAGGCAAATCTCTGAGTTCAAGGCCACCCTGGTCAACACAGTGAGTTCCAGGCCTGCTGGGGCTACAGGGAGACCCTGTCTCAAAAAGACCAAAAAAAAATTACTAAATGTGTGTCCTGTAACATGTAACATACTTTATAAAATTTTATTCTAATCATGCGTATTGATGTCATATTCATGAGTTTCACTGTGACATTTCCATTCATGAATGTGCCACGATTGGGTTGGGTTCATTCTCCTGACTACCCTGTCTAAACCATACTCTTCTCCAGTCTCTGCCCAGTCCTCTGAACTGTTTGGCTTTCAGTTGTCTTTAAATTGTAGCCTGTACGTAAGCAGGAAATCCATGTAGTGCTTGCCTTGCATCTGACTTATTTTGCTTAACATGAAAATTTCTATTTCCCTCCACATTCCTGCAAGCAACATGATCTCATTTTATAACCAAATAAACCCCATTGTGCATATCTACCATGTTTTGTGTATCTGTTCATCTGTCAACAGGCACTAGGCTGGTTCTGTAGCTTGGTTGTTGTGAAGGGTGCTACAATAAACATGGATACACAGGACTCTCCTGTGTGCTCTGGCTTCATCTCTTTGGTATGCACATATGTAGCTGGATCATAGGGCACTTCTATTTTAAGTGTTGTTTTTTTTTTTTATTTTATGTGTACGAGTGTATTGCCTGCATGTATGTGAGTGCACTTGTGTCATGCAATGCCGCAGAGGTCAGAAGAGGGCATAGGATTCCCCTGGAACTGGAGTTAAGGACAGTTCATAGCCACTATGTGGGTGCTGGGACTTGAACCCGGGTCCTCTGTAAGAGTAGTCAGTGCTCCTAACTGCTGAGCCATCTCTCCAGCCCCCAGGTGTCTTTTTAAGACTCTCCATACTGTCTCCCATAGGCTATCAACAGTGTATAAAGTTCCATTTCCCCACATCCTCACCAGCATTTGTTATTTTGAGGATGGCCATTCTGAGTGAAGCAGGATGGAATATCGATGTAGTTTTGGTTTGCCTTTCCTTGGTGGCTAAGCATGTTAAACGTTTCCAGCTTATATTTATTGGCCCTCAGTACATCTCCTGAGAAGTGTCAGTTCAGATCATTTGCCTATTTCTTGATTAGATTATTTGTTCTATTGTTACTTTTTTTGAGTTCTTTATACATTCTGGATGCAGTCCTTTGCTAGATGAATGGCTGGAAAGAATATTTATTTTTAAAATCAATTGTAGGGGTGCTGGAGAGATGTCTCAGTGGTTAAGAGCACTGCTGCTCTTGCAGAGGACCTGGGTTCAAATCCTAGCACCCACATGGCAGCTAACAACTGTCCGTAACTCCAGTAACTCCAGTTCCAGGGGATCTGATGTTCTCTTCTGTCCTCCCCAGGCATTGTACAAAATGGGTACACTTACATGCATGCAGGCAATACGTACATACATATAAAATAAAAATAATAAATAAAATTTAAAAAAAAAGAAAGCAAGCACATAGGTTTGATTTCTGATTCTGGAAACAAAGAATACTGACAACTGCCTGTAACTCCAGTTCCAGGGGATCCAACAGCCTCTTCTACCCTCTGCAGGCATTGCACAACATAGGTGTGCCTACATGCAGGCAATACATGCATACACATAAAAAAAATAATAATAAAATATTTTTTTAAAAATCAATTATAGGAATCTATAGAATGTTTTCCTTTTTTAAAAAAGAATGAATGTTGAGACTGGAGAGATGGCCCAGCAGTCAGGAGCACTGGCTGGTCTTGCAGAGGACCCAGGTTCGATTTCTAGCACCCACATGGTGCCTAACAAACATCCGTAATTCCAGATGTTCCAGGGGCGCCAATGCCCTCTTCTAACTTCTACGGGCATTGCACGACACGGGTGTACTTACATACATGCAGGCAATACACTCATACACAAAAAATGAAAATAATAAAATATTTTTTAAAAAGAATGAATTTGCTGGACATGTAGCTCAGTGACAGAATGCTTGCCTCCCCATGCTGCAAAAATAAAATAACTACCTTCTGATCACATTGGCTTAGAACTCTATTAGCCTCTACCCTTTGCAACTTAAACTTAGCTCCATAATAGATCTTTATTTGCTAAAAGTACATTGGGTTGTAGACACAGATGGAGGCAATGGTGTCCCCACCATAGTGTTTTGTTTCTTTATTGATCCCTGCTATTGATTTTCAGCCTGTAAGAACCCCATCTGGATCCTTAAAACAAAGAAAAACCTTTTGTCTCCTTGGCAGGTTGCCCCCAGTCCACAAAGGAACAATACTGATGATGACGACGAGCCCACTGAGAACCATGATAAAGGACCAGGCAGCTGCTGAACCGCCATGTGTCTTCTCGCAGGCCAGAGACAATGTTCTTCCAAGAAAGGGCCTGGCTCTGGTTGTTCATCAGAGTATGCATCATTCTGGGACATGAACACAAAGTCCCTGACCAGCATGGGAAAAACAATTGCTATCAGCTTAACAGACTTTGCTCCAGCTTCCAAGAAGCAGAACAGCACTGCCGTGGCCAGGGAGGACACCTGGCTAACACTTGGACCCAAGAGAGTAAAGCTCTCATCTGGAGCTCCCTAAAAGAAGGGACAAAGTGGTGGGTTGCACAGAGTCCACTGAAAAAGTATCAAGGGGAAACCCACCCAGGTAGGGCTCTGCTGCTCAGCACCAGTGAGAGTCTCACCAGCCTTTTGTTCCAGTACAGAACAAAGGAAACTGTTTTAAACAATTTTTTTTAGTTATTTATTTTTATGTATATGAGTGTTTGCCTAAATGTATGTAAACGCATGCATGCATGGAACTCCCACAGTTCCAGGTTCCCCCTCTATGGAACTTACAATTTTAGGCTATACTCTTGTCTCTGTAACAAAGGGGCTGAGCTTTTTGTCAGAACCTACCTGAAGCTGTCTTACCTAACCTTCCATTAAGAGTACTAGGCAATTTTTGCTTTGTGTTATTTGGGGTGTTTGTGTTTTCTGTTTTACTTTGTTTTGTCTTTGAGACAGAGTTTCACTATGCAGCATAAGATGATTTGAAACTTGATATGTAGCCCAGATGGATCTCAAGCTCTGTCTTCCTGCCTCAGCTTCCTGAATGCTGGTATTACAGGTAAGCACCTGGCTTGTATTGTACAAGGTTCTGAAAAGGAAAACCTTTTATGGTGACTGTGTTTGTATGATAAACCTTTGTTTTGTTTTGTTTCTCTTTTGGTTTTTTGTTGTTTTTATTTTATTTTATTTTTTTTTTTTGGATCCAAGTTTCCTAAAACAGAAACTAGGGGACAATTACCTACCTGTTGCCTTTCCTACAAATTTAGGTACCAGAATCTTGTAGTTTTAGAGAAAAATCCAAAACATTATTATATCATTTCTTCATTAGTATTTATGTATGCAAATAGTAAATTCTGTGATAAAAACATATAATATGAAGCCGGGCGTGGTGGCGCACGCCTGTAGTCCCAGCACTTGGGAGGCAGAGGCAGGCGGATCTCTGTGAGTTCAAGGCCAGCCTGGTCTACATAGTGAGTTCCAGGACAGCTGGGGCTACAGGGAGACCCTGCTTCAAAAAGACAAAAAAAAAAAAACATATAATATGAAAAATACTATATAGAGGGAAGTCCTAAATTTTCATTGACTAGAAACCAATCAAATTGGGCTTTAATTTTAAGTGTGTGTGTGTGTGTGTGTGTGTGTGTGTGTGTGTGTGTGTGGTGTGTGATGCATGTATGTCTGTGTACATGTGCATTAGTGCCACAGTGTGCATGTGGAGGTCAGAGGATAACCTCACTGTGGGCCCTCACCTTCCAGCAAGGGCTGTTATTTTGCTTCCTGCTGCTTTCACCAGGCGATCTGGTCCACAGGCTTCTGGGAGTTCTCCTGTAGAGAGAATTCCCCATCTCACCTAGGAGCACTGTGATTTCAGACATAGGCTACCTTGCCCAGCCTCACATGGGTTTGGGGGATTTGAACTCAGGTCCTCATACTTGCATGGCAAATACTTCACCCAGGGAGCCATCTCCCCAGTTGAACCTTGAGGACTGAGACTTACCTAAGTCTGATCTCCCTTTAGGAGATGCTGCAGGCTCTAGAAACTTAAAGTCCAACCACTGCAACTCTGTGTTCAGATACTCCAAAGACATCTTATTAAGAAAAGAGAGGTGTTCACAGAAACATCACTTCATTTGCCAGGCTGGTAAGTTATGAAGTTATGTCCATTGTGGTTTTAAAAGCTGATTTTAAATAAAGAATGCCTGTGAGAGAATGTGTTTTAAATAGCTTGAGTGCTATTATCTCTGTGATACAGACTTTGTAGTGGGAAATAGAGGTAAGTGAAGAACAGTGTAGAGTATTCTAGTCTAGGACAGATAACAAGAGTATGTATGTTGGTACATACTTAAACATACACAGACATAATAGAACAAACAAAAACTGACCTTGGTAGCCTACAGGTAGGAAGGAAATAGAGCAGAAAGGGCAGTAAGGCCTTTCTGAACCCACCTTGTCTTATGACAATCACAATGCTTAGCAGTCACTAGGCATCAAGTTCCCTCCCTTGTGAAGAGGCTCTGGTGATGTGTTCTCCCTGCCGCTTTCCTGCAAGTGAGGGCACAGCAGTCCTTCCCTCTGGAGAACAAGCCCTAAGCAAACACCAGAGGCTGGTGACCTCATTTTAGACTTCCCATTCTCCAGAACTGAGGGAAATAAATCCTGTTCCTCTTTTCTTTCTTTCCTCCTTTCTTTTCTTTCTTCCTGTGTTGTGAATACAGCTTTGGGTCTTGTGCATGCTGTCTAGCACTCTATTAATTACCAAGCTGTACCCCGAGCCCTAAACCTCTGTCCTTCATAAATGACCTGTGGTATTCTGTTATATCAGCACAAAACAAACTAAAAAGATTAGAAAACATTTAGATCAAGAACTTTTAAAAGCAACCCTAAAAATAAGAATATAGATCAGGATAAAAACTGAACCTAGCAAATGGAACAATTTAAGGTAATTGTGCTCAAAAGCAGAAAATAACTAGAGAGTAGTTCGTAAAGCCAAGAAAAGTTGTTGGTCTTCTGGGTTTTTTTCTTATTGTTGTTGTTTTGGTTAGTTTGGTGATTATTTGGGGGTTTGTTGTTGTTTGATAAGGTCTTACTATGTAGCCCAGGCTAGCCAAAAATTCACTATATAAGGTTTGTAATCCTCTTGCTTCAACCTCCCTAGTGCTGAAACTACAGGCTTTTGCTACCACATCCAGCTGCTGGGGGCAGGGGTAGTTTTGTTCCATAGTTTTGGGGGACAGGGTCTCACTCTGTAGGATAGGCTGTCCTGGAACTCACTATGTGCCCCAGCCTGGCCTCAAACCCACAATGATACTGCTACCTCAATCTCCCAAGTTTCTCAATCTCCCAAATCCTGGGATTACAGGAATGAGGCACCAACCTAGGTTGTTTTTTCTTAAGAGGTGAGAAAAATAGTGTGCCGTATTGACATTCAGTCTGAGCTCTTGAGATCTGAGACTGTGGGAAGGACTCACTTTGGATAGGTGTGCAAGATTTGTAGTAGCACCAGCAAAGGTGATATCTGCAGGTATAAGTGCTGGTGAGAGTCATGGAAGACTCTAAATTGTTTTGATCTTCACCTTGAGTTAAAAAACAAAGCTATGGTCTGGCTTGGTGGTACATGCCTTTAATCCCAGCACTGGGGAGGCAGAGGCAAGTGGATCTCTGTGAGTTCAAGGCCAGCCTGGTCTATATAGCAAGTGCCAGGCCAAGGGGCTACAGGGAAACCCTGTGTCAAAAAGAACAAAAAAAGCTATGAGCTGGTGAGATGGCTCAGCAGGTAATGGCACTTGCTGTCAAAACTGATGACCTGAGTTCAAGCCCCAGAACCCGCAAGGTAGAAAGAGAACCAACTCCAACAAGTTGCCCTCTGCTCTCCAGGAGTGAAGACACACAAAGTAACTAAATGTAAGAATGAATAAATAAATTATAAAAAGCAAGGTTGTCATCTGCTCTGGAAAGGAACACATGGGAGGCTCCTGGTTGTTGGATGTTGAGTACAAAAATCAGAAAGAATCATCCCAGAGTGGAAGTGAATAGACCAGGGATGATGCTGATCACCAGGCAATGTGAATACAGCGGAGATGCTGCTGCTCAGACCAGAGACAATGTTGATCACCAGGCAATGTGAATAGACCAGAGATGGTGCTGATCTCCAGGCTGTGTAAACAGGACAGACAATGCTGATCACCAGGCTGTGTGAATAGACAGAGATGATGCTGTTCACCATCGTGTTTTGTGGTCCTGAATCTAAGTTGAGGCGTAGTCAGTGTGGTTGTATTATTTTCTCCGGTGATGTTCAGTGGCATGTGTAAGAAGCTCTTGGGTATGTAGAGAAGGAGGCACAGTCAGGAATGTTACTGTCAGGCTGAGGCTATGGCTCAGTAAGGAAGCACATGACTCAAAATTCCTACATCATTTAAGAAAATGAATAATGACCTTCACTTGTGTTTTCCTGATTAGCACGTGCATGCCTGTAATGACTACTTTATGGACCTACAGCTAGAGCAGTAACCGACAGACGAACCTTTGTATTGGCTCCCCACAGATCACTTTTCAAATCCAGATGCCAGCAATGGGAGAATTGAGCATAACCCTTTTCCAAGGAGACCCAAGAGGGGAGCCAAGACTCAGCAGAAAGAGACCTCAGGTAATGTGTTCCTTCTCCAAATGTGTGGTCCAGCCCTGGCTGAAGGGTGCCAGGGCTGAGGTAAAGCTCAATGAACTGTCCTAAGTGGGTACCCAACTGCCTCTGTGTATCTGATCTTAACACTGCAATTTTCATGCTTTTTTTTGTGTGTGTGTGTGGTGCTGGGCTCCATGCATACTAGGAAAGTGCCCTACAGCAGAGCCACATCCTTAACTCCTTTACTTTCACTGTGTGTGTGTGTGTGTGTGTGTGTGTGTAAGCGTGTAAGCCAGAGGTCAATATCAGTTGTCCCTCTCTATCACTTTCCACTGTATCTTTTGATGGAGTCTCATGGCTCACCATTTGGACTAGACTGGTTGGTCAGCAAGCTCCTGGGATCCTCCTGTGTGTACACAGACACACACACCCTCCCCCTCCCCCTGCGCGCGTGCTGGAGGTACAGGTGTGTATCACCATGCCCAGTGTGCTGGATAGTTTCAACTGTCAACCTGACACACCTGGGTAGGGAGAACCTCAATTGAATTTCCTCCATTGAGTTGGCCTGTGGCCATGTCTGTGGGGCATTTTCTTGATTGTTGAGTGATGTGAGAGGGTCCAGCCCACTGTGGGTAGTGCCACCCAGGTGGTCCTGTGTTGTATAAGAAAGCAGGCCGAGCACAGGCCAGAGGAGCAAGCCAGTAAGCAGCATTCCTCCATGGCCTGTGCTCCAGCTCCTGCCTCCGGATTTCTGCCCTGAGTTCCTCAGTGATGACCTGTGACCTGAGAAATGTAAGAGAAAATGAACCCTTTCCTCCCCAAGTTGGTTTTGGTTAGTGTTTTTATCACAGCAACTGAGAAGCAAACTAGGACACCCTGGTTTT